AAAAAAGCGTTGCAGAGACCAAAGCAGGAAGAAGAAGTGTCGAAAGAGTGAAGCTAAGCTTACAGACAGAATCCGATCCGTCACCCGCTGAAGCAAATAAAAGCGGAAACAAACCGCCTATTAGACGTAGTTTGCTCGATGATTTATCCCGACAACTCGGGGAAAAAGAGATTGAGCCTCCCGAGTTCCCAAACCCGGACACTGATATCGAACGCTCATCTACGGTATCTGATACTCCCAGTGCAGATTATGAGGATAACAGTTCTGATAGAGGCAAAAGCGACAACCACACGGATCTGCCTCTTTCAATTCCTGAGAACGAGCCAGAGGCGAAATCAGGGATGAATATCTTCAGAGAGAGGAAGATTCTTTCGGGTAAATTCCAGAGGCTATGGAGGTTAGGTAGAAACTTGTCCGGCGAAGAGACCTCTGAGACGAAAGAAGCTAAACAGATAGATTTTGAAGACGGAAAAACCGATTCAGATTCAACTGCAGGTAATGGAGATGCCTTAAAGAATACAGGAAGATCCATGCTTGAACATATCAAGGTAAAATTCCACGAATCGAATAATGTATTTGCTTATTATGAACCAAAATTAAACATGACTTGACTCATTTTTTTGATTGTTTCGATATCAGGTGATAGAGTCAGTGTTGGAGCTAAGTCCACCGGAGAATATGGCTGTGACTGAGAACGGAAGAATAACAGTTGACGAAGCTCTTAGAGAACTTCGTAGACTTGGAAATATGTTATTGTCAGAAATGTAAAGTTTATTGCAGACTCGTGTATTATGAACATTCATTTGTCTCTATGTGTGTATGTGTGTGTAAGAGAGAGTGTAATTGTAATGTATATATGAGAAATTTTGAAGAGGGTTTTGTTTTTCTTTTAGCAGTAGTTGTACAATGAGAAATCTAGGTTTCTTCTAGTACAAGGGACTTGTGTTTCTTTGGACTTTGTAAACCCTAACGGGTTTTTAACGGTTCTTAGTGACAAGAGATATCCAGAGTACATTAAATTATAGATTTCCCTCCTTTTTTTTTTGCGCCTGACCGTTAATTCTTACCGTTGAAATAATTTGCAAATTTCTGTTATTTTCAATTTGAAAAAAAAAAACATTAATTGAGGGAAAAATACAAAGGATTAAGGTATATTAAGCTTAAATAAGTATTAAAATTAAGGAAAAATAAAAAGAAAAGAAAAAATCCTGACAAATGTAGAAGAGTCTTATACTAGAAAAGAATGAAAGAATAATGATAAACCTGAATCAACTCGAGATTAAGAAGAAAAAAAAAAGGTCAAGTCATTGTGATGACCATTCTAGAGAAGCATATGATTATGACTGTGTTGTTGCTGAGTAGCAGATGAAGGAGGAGCTGGGAGGGCAAGGAAAGGGTCACCAAAAGGATTAGGAGATGAAGTTGAAGGATTTGGTGAGAACTGATGATGATGATAAGGTGAATAGTTGTTGTTATATGGACTTCGATTATTCATCATCATCATTTGTTGTTGTTGCATTGCCATTTGGACGTTGGTTGGTGGAGCCATGTTGTTTGACATTGCGAAAGGATCTTGTTGCATCCCGAATGGGTTTGGGTTTGATAAGGCTGGTTCTCCGGGTATAGCGGTGGCTCCAAATCCGTAACCGGCGTTTGTTAATTGGATCTGTCTTCTTGCTGTATCGTCTTCGTAGAGACTGTCTAGTAGAAGATTGTCGAATCCTCCAGGCTGCAAACATAGATACCCTTGAAGTCTTAATTGGAATTTTTTGAGCTTCTATTTGAAGGGAAGCCTTACGAGTTCCGTTTTTGGTGCCGGACGAGGATTCCTCGGGTCGATCCTTCGGAGGTCTGTTTTCAGGTGGGGAGTTTTTCTGGGGCGGCACATCTGTTAAAAGAGACAATAGGCTCCTAAGATGAGCTCAACGAGAACGGACCTCTGG